GCAAACGCAATGTCCAGCCTCGTGTGGACTAGGTAGCGTAGACCGCCGACGATGCTTCGATAGAGTGTTGCATACACCTTCGTTGCGGTGCTGGCCTTTGTCAGCTTCAGTCGCTCCTCCATCGAAGTCATGCATGGCCTGCACTCAGCCATGCTGCTCCTCTCCAACAGCTTGGAGGCATACACACTCTGACCGAGCATGAGTTCCTCCTTCCCCTGTCTCACCTCGATGCCAAGGTAGTAGGAGAGTGCGTCGACATCGCTCATTCAAAAACGAGCCGCCATCTCGCGCTTGAAGCTGTTGATGTCCTCCATGCGCGCGTCGGTGATGATTAAGTCATCCACATACACACCGACGACGAGCTCCTCCTTCCCCTGTTGCCGCGTGTAGAGCGCATGCTCGGTTGCGCACCTTTGAAACCCAAGCTCGCCCAGCATGGCATCAAGCTTGGCGTTCCATGCTCGAGGGGCCTGCCGTAGCCCATAGAGCGCCTTGCACAGTCGAAGCACCCTGTGCTCCTCTCCCTTGACGGCAAAACCTGGAGGTTGCCTGACGAAGACCGTCTTCGCCAGTTCGCCATTAAGGAAGGCCGATTTAATGTCCAAGTGATGGACACGCCAGTCCTTTGCTGCTGTCAAGGCTAGTAGCAAACGGACCGACTCCATGCGCGCTACTGGCGCAATGACTTCCTCGAAGTCGATGCCCTCACGCCGTACAAAGCCTCGGGCCACGAGACGTGCCTTGTGATTGACAATGGCGCTGAGCTTGTCCAGCTTGACCATGTACACCCACTTCAGGCTGATCGGATGGCATCCTAGAGGTGGATCGACGAGCTACCAAGTCTCATTTTCCTCGATCGCCTTCATCTCCTCCAACATCACCCGTCGCCAGTTTCCATCACGCTCGGCTAGCGCAAACATGGGTGGTTCCTCTGCATTGATGAGTAGCAGCTCTGCATCATTGAGCAGCCTACTCGCCAAGCCTGAGGGACCTGTACCGCCGATGATGTCGTCTAGCCTGCGGAACCACACCTCCTCACCTTCGTGGTAGGCGTCCACAAACTTAGTGATGTCATTTGGAGGTGAGGCGAACTCGATCGATGTCGAAGGAGTTCCCTGTTCCGCCAGAGTGCTCGGCATAGCACCTTGAGTGCTCGGCACTACTTCTGGATAGCTCGTCATTACTCCTGCAGTGTTCGGCCACACTGTAGGAGTGCCCAGCCTCAGTCTTGGAGTGGTTGGCACCACTGCAAGATGTCTTGGCTTCGCCACAGGAGTGCTCGGCACCCGTTCTGTAGTGGTCGCCACCACTGCAGAACCTCCCAGCACCACTCCTGACGTGCTCGTCATCCCTCTAGGAGTGCTCGACACTCCTCCCAGAGTGCTCGGCATCCCTCCCGAAGTGCTCGGCACTGCCCTAGGAGTGCTCGGCTCTACCACCGGAGTGCTCGGCACTCCTCCCAGAGTGCTCGGCACCTCTTCCCCAGTGTCTCCACTACCGTGGATGACCAAGTGCTCGACGACGAAGGTGCTAGTGAAGCCGCCAGCTTCCCCCTTGCTCGGACTGGACCAGTCCCAAGCCGCCTCCTCATCGAACACGGTGTCGCGCGAGACAAGCACCTTGTCTCTGCATGTGTCGTAGAGCCAGATGCCTTGGTACCCTCCGCGTAACCCAGGAACACCATGGTTGTGCTCCTGTCCACCAGCTTGGTGAGGTTCGGCTTCGTCTTCCTGACGTGGCCGATGCAGCCGAATGTTCGGAGGAAGGACACGCTCGGCTTGCGCCCATACCAAGCTTCAAACGGCGTCTTGCCCGTCAGGGCCTTGGTCAGAGCGCGGTTGAGGATGAACACCGCCGTGGTCATCGCCTCTCCCCAGAACCATACCGGCATGCCTTTGGCCTTCATCATGGATCGGGCCATGCCGACCACCATCTGGTTCTGCCTCTCCACCACGCCATTCTGTTGTGGTGAGTACGGCGCGGTGTGGTGTTGCCCCACACCCCGATCCGCGCAGTACACAGTGAACTCCACCAAAGTGAATTTGTCGCCGTGATCAGTCCTCAGCACGCGAAGCTTCTTGCCGCTCTCGGCCTCCGCGCGCATCTTGAACTTCTTGATCGCCGCCGCTGCTTCGTCCTTGCTCGTCAGGAGTTGCAGCCACATGTAGCAACTGCAATCATCCATGAGCAGGAGGAAGTACCACCGACCACCATTTGTAGCAGGCGTGATCGGCCCGTAGAGGTCGCCGTGGACAAGCTCGAGAGCGTCCTTCGCGCGATACTTGGCTGCCTTTGGGAAAGGTAGCCTCCTCTGCTTCCCGGCTAGGCAGCTATCACATAGCTCGCCTCCGTGCTTGATGTGGGGTAGCCCTCAGACCATCTTCTCCAACCGACCAAGCGCGTCAAAGCTGAGATGTCCGAACCGGCATGCCACATCCATGGTTCCTCAGAGTGCCTTGCCGCCAGGCAAACCGATTACTCTACCTTCAGGTCGAGCAGGTACAACTGGTTCAGGGACCTCTTCACCTTGGCGAGAAGTCGCTGCTCCTGATCCCTGATCCTAAGGACTCCATCCTTGATCGGTACCTCGCTACCGCGGTCATCCAGCTGACCAATGCTGATGATGCTGGAACGTGGCTGCGGGATGTAGTATACATCCGTTAGCGCGTGGTGCTCCCCATTCTGGCACCTGAAGACGATAGTGTTGCGCCCTTGGATTGCCCCCGTGAGCCGTCACCAAACTTCACCGTATCGGTAACATCATCGTCGAACTCGAGAAGGATTCCTTGGAGCCTGTCTTGTGGTTGCTGGCACCAGAGTCCAGATACCACCGCTGCTCCTGGTCGAAGCCCCACACGTTTGAGGTGGACTTGGGCGCATGGTTCATCGAGGTTTACAGTCTTTAGGGCCTTCCCAAGTCCTTCCACAATCGTCGCCTCTTCCCTCTCCTCGGCCTCGATGTCGTGCAGTGCACAGAACGTCGTCATCAGGATAGTGGCCTCATCCTCATCATTGGCTTGCGCTAGGTGAGCCTGAGCCTTCTTTTCCTGCTTGCGGTTTGGGCACTCCCGTGCCCAATGGCCTATCTTCCCACAACGCCGGCAGGAATTGGGGTCGACCTGCTTCTTCTCCGAAGAAGCCTTGCCGCGGCGCTTGCCATCGCCACCGCGGCTGGAGGAGGCTGCCTTCCTAGAGTTCCTTCGAGCAGCCCACTCCTCTTCCGTCAGTAGGAGTTTTCCGCTGTCCTTCGTTGCTGTCGCCTGCTCCAGGCGCTCGTCCACCGCCCGCAGACAGCCTATCGCATCCTCAATGGTGAGGGTGGACAAGTCCAGCATCGTCTCTATGGAGAGATCGATCTAGATGTACTTTGTCGGCACGGAGTGAAGGTACTTGGAGACCGCCTCCTCTTCGTCGATGGTGATGCCGTGGCTCTTCAGCTTGCTGATGAGCGTCTGCAGGCGGAGGGAGAAGTCCTCCACCGTTTCACCATCCTTGAACTTGAGGTTGGTGTACTCCTGCTTTAGAAGCTGGGTCGTCGCCTTCTTTGCGCCGTCGGAACCGACGCGCATCTCCGCAAAAGCCTCCCATGCCTCCTTAGCCAAGCTCTTCGCCCCCAACGGCTCCCTGTGCTCCGCCGGTACAGCAGCGAGGATAGCCTCCAACGCTGACATGTCATCCTCCTTATTGTCAGTGCCCTTGTCAACAGCATTCCAGAGCTGTCGAGCTCTGAGCTTGACCTTCATGGTCACCGACCACTCTTCATAGTTGGTGCGAGTCAGCGTTGGCCAACTGGTGCCACTGACCTCCCGCACCGTGCGAACAACGATCTCCGGTCATGGCTGGGCAGCCACAGCAGTGACACTATTGTCGCCCATCTCCGAACTGCCCGTCATCGCCAGCGGTTAGTCTGGCGATAGCGCTTGTACGGCTCTGATACCACTTGTTGGCCCACAGGATCACCGGCTCAGATGAGTGAACCACTCACCAGTCTTGTCGAGCACCCGCTAGTGTTGCCGAGCACCCACTAGTCGTGCCGACCATGAACCAGTGTTGTCCGTCCCCACGCACTATGGTTAGAGCTTGAAGAAGAAGGAAGAACAGAGCATGCACACACAGTATAAGACACCAGGGTTGACCGAAGCCCTGTCTGGGAGATGGCAAATCTGAACTCTCTTTACTGAGTTGCCGTGGTAGTCTATTTATATAACTCTATCCATCTAGTCCCAGTACAACTGCCCTACTGCAACAGTGACTAAATAACATACATGGCTGACTCTGCGCCGGCCACTGCATGTGCCTACAGTGCTGTAGATGGACAGTTCGGCGCCTGCACCTGCAACGGCTATAATATCACAGCAGGGGGTCTTTTCGACGACGCCTTCTCCTTGTTGTGTTCACATAAGGTAGCAGTAGATTATTTAACAAGGGCATGCTCAATCGCCGACACACGTCACTTATGTTTTTTTTATAGCTCATAAATTTGTGTTATCTATATGTATCGTAAAAACATAAGGAAGAGCTACGATCTTTGCAACAAACAGATCAAAGACCAAGCTAGTAAGTGTGCCGCAGTATTGAATCCTTAAACCGCATAATATGTCTATGGTTAGATGATACAATCAATACCATCTGGCCATATGGTAAATACACAGTACCTACATGCTTTCTTCTGTCCATTTATTTATTCCCACAAGATGGCTCTTACACCTACAAATCGTTAGCCTAGTTTCTTGGGTCTAATCTCAATGCCCTGAACAATAAGACCCTCCTTCGAAGTACCTGATGTCTGCAGGAGGCTAAAGCGCACCTCGCCATCATCACCTTCCTTGTTGTAGAACACGCCCATCTCCAACTCCATCCAACCATCAGTCCTTTCCTGAGGGAGCACCGGGTTTCTACCATGCCCACGCCGGTAGCTCTTGTTGTATTCTCGCGTAAGGGCACTGTGACCTGAACATTCACGTCCCTACCTTCATAGCTTTGGACGCAGACTTTGCGGATTATTTCTTTCCTGCAACTGTGTCTATTAATGCCTTCTGGGGTGGATAATCCAGCCCATAGGATCCAACGGGTATCTTGAACACAATGTAAGCTGTGTCTCGAGAAAGCATTTTGCTGTGTATTTTGCCACGTATTTCGAACCAGCAAACAGACAGGAGTACAGCAACTTCGAACCTGTGCCAGATTAACAAAGGACCAAGTTTCAAAGAAAGAGCAATCGATACAAGATGATTGATAATCAAGTACAATTATATAACAAGGATGGTGCATATGCAAAACTTGGGATAAATCCTGAACCCTGGACACTAAGTTGTCGGGCCTATCCACCATCCATGCTGCTGCTGCTAAGAAGTAAGAACAGACTGCTACCCAGTCAATACATAGCTCTGAGGCCAACCTTTTCATAATCAGATTTTTTCTATCTAGATCTGTATAAAAGCCCCATGCCCTAGAACTTGATTTTTTTCTTAATCCTCGAAAACAGTTGGCACTTTATCTCACAACAAGTATCTAATCCAAATTGCAAGCCAAAACCACCAACAGCAACAGGGTGAATTTGCAGTACAATGCAATGGCATTCGCCACATGACATATATATGCTCGAACAATTTGCGTGAGAATTGGAAGCAAGATACAGAAGAAATTGGTTGTGCCATGCGAACCTGGAGTCGGGGAGATTGATCCAGCGCCAGTAGCACGGCGTGTCGCCCCACCAGATGTGCAGGGCCCTCGCTAGCAGCATGTAGCACTTGGCGCCGCTCCCCCTGTCCAACCACATGCTCTGAACACAGCAACAGGCCGGTTAGCCGATCAGATGATCAATTGAAGAACTAGATTACAAGAGAAGGAAACCCTACTGTTACATGTGGTCTGTCGAGGGCCGGGCCGTACCTTGCGTCCATAGGCGAGTAGAGGATTTTTGGGAACCGGCTGTATCCTGAGGCCACCGGCGAGTAAGAGGGGGCAACGGCGGTCGGAGAGGCGAAGGAACCGCTCCTTCTTGGACGGCGGCGCGGGGCCGGCAAGCTCCCCGGCAGCGATCGGCAGGAGGTCCCGGGGGACGAAGCAGGACCACACGGCATCGGATCCGGCGGCGTCGCGGAAGGCGCGGGAGACCGCAGCGGCGCGGCAGGCGTCCCGCGGCGTGGTGAGGGCGAGCGCCGCCGAGAGGAGGTCCTCCGGCAGGGGCGCGATCTCGCAGGTGCCCGTCGCCGACCCCATCGACTAACTTCTGCTGGATTTGAGAAATGGATTCTGCGAGCGAGACGGGGATTGCTACGGATCGCAACAAAAATTCAGGGGGTGGGGAAGATAGAAATGAAACCAGCAAGAACCAGACGCGGGGGGGGGGGGGGTTACTTCACCGACTAGATGAAAAGTTGGACCGTCTCGCCCGCGCCGTTGTTCAGTTTAGGCCCAATATTGTCTCGGCACTCTTTGGAACACAGAAATTTGTAGAAAAAATAGCGAAGTAATCTCACATAAATTAGCTTAATTTTATATGAAAAATATAAGATCCAGAAAAGAAAATTACTGCATTCCAAAGTGATCTAAAGGGCTCACCCTGTATATGATTGTGCTGGTCTGGAGATACTGATCGTATCCATCTTCGTAGCTGACATCTGGGTCAAGAATTGGACGATCATATTTTTACAAGTGTTTGGTTTGAGGGCAGCAAGGTTAGAGAATATTCTTCCAAGATTTGGGACGTTCTCACCCCTCAAGTGTTTTCTATGTACTTGTCTGCAGTTATTTTCACTTCTAATCCCTAAGTGTCTACCTACGGTAAGAAATAATTAAGATCTAAGAAAGAACCATGAAGAACAAAATAGAAACATAATCAAGAACTGCCTACAACATAATGCTCAGCATGTATAGTACCCTGAGCAAGGCTAGACCAAAATTTTCAATGTTCTCGGTTAGCAAGGATGGGGCTTCTTTGGCATCTCACTGACCGAGCAGCTACAAAAGAAGAGCTCCCGTGTGTCATATCCATGCACACACACAAGTTGATTAGTCCGTTTCCAGTTTGTGTGCAAGTAGCTAAGCAATCATACTTGCCTCTCTTCCCCCATATATATGTGTTAGCTAGTAGTCCAGACATTGCTGGAGTCATGGTGGTCGATGAGCGGAAGGATGTAGGACAAGGGCTTGAGGGTTCGAGGGAGGCAGCCTTGTGCAGCACAAGTTGTGCTGGAGTTGTGGCCACTCATCTGCCATTTTATGAAGTTTCCATTCCCATGACCAACTTTATTCTTTATGAAACATATGTGTGCAGATTCTTTCATGACTAGTGACAAGGGGATGCCTCAAGTTGGTTTGAGGTTCAGAAATGTCCTATACAAACAATGGTTGGTCAGTATTATAGCACTTGTTGCTAAAGAATTTTCATCACTGGCGTTGTCCTCCCCTGAATGGCATGTGTTCACATGTATCTAGAGTGTATTCTAATTTCATATCCCTTAATAGTTTAGTGCTCACGCTCACAAAGCCAAACAAGGTTTGAAAGTCATCCTAAGCACTATGTTACGCTCTTTCTACTTGTGAAAATTTCAATCTAACTGAAAGTCATTTGCATGGATCTGAATGATTGAAATGGTTACAAATTACATGGGTCTGAATGGATGTGTTGTGTGCCGGAACTGAAGTTGGACGGAGGCAGCCAGATACTGATCGACGAGGGTTGCAGTGGCTGTCTGGTGAATACCGATCACGCGATGCTTACGGCGGAGCGATTGCTGAAACGATCAAAAGACGAGGCGACGAGGACGCGTGGATTAATTGGCAGGCAACGCGCGCGCGGCCATCCATCATGCTCCTCATCCTCAACTTTGAAGACGGATGGCTCGCTCTATCGGGGCGGGGTGGCAGCCGTCGCTGCTGGACGCTGATCGATCCGCCAACGAACGTGCCGGCGGTGGTCTGCGCGGGATCAAGTTGCTATTGCGCGATCGTCCGTTCTGATGCCAAGGTGGAGGTGGACGAGGTTTCCGACTGCGTAGTCATCGTAGATGTAGATGGAGATGTTCGGGTGAGTTAGTGGAAGAACTCGTCGGATGGGTATAAAGTGCGCGGACGAGGAAATATAGGGGCGACGTATGAAGCTGGGGACGGAGGAAACCGGGCAACTCACCAAGCGAGGCGGTAGACGTCACCAAGCTGAACTGTATGCCGGTCACCCATGCTTGGAGTCTTTTTACTCGTGCTTTCATACGGATAACTAAACTTTTGTACTAAAAATACATGGGTCATACGATAAGATAAAAATACTGTAAAATTAAATACCGATGTTAAAGTGATATTTAATTCAAAAAGCAAAGTTCGTGAAATTAACACGGTCACGGAGAGCGTGGCTCGTAGGCTCACAAACTCTACTGTATAGACATTTCCGTGATGCGACTAAGATTATGTTTTATATCGACAGAAAAAAAAATTCCGATATCTATTTTTTTGTACGCTAATAAATCCACGAATAAGTTCCACCGCATCTCCATACCATCCTGTACACAGGTTCGAGCATATATATAAATATTAGTGCCTGTCACATGGGTAATACTACGTGTCTTAAAAAATCTCTTGCAAAACCATAAAACAAAGTATGTTATACTTACCGTATAAATATGTGTGGTCTATTCCACGCAGGCATATAATATAGAATAAGATATCCACTTGAGTGTCTGTGGCAAGATTCACCATCAATGATATGTATTATTATTGCAAGCGATAGTGACTCTGAGCTAGTTACCCGTCTGTCATCTGCAATGTTTTTTTCACGGATGAATTTCCATTTAAAGATATCCCCGTTCCATTCAAATCAAGATACAAATGCTGGAAATGATGCTAACAACAAATCAATTGGTTTTTGAAACTATATAGTTCCTACTTGTCCTCATCCATGTTTAGCAAATGGTTGCTCGATAAAAACAAAAAAATATACTTTAGCCTACTATTGCTAGAAATCTATAAATTCGCATGATAGATGTGTCTACCCTCCGTACCCGTATGTTTAACAAGGTACATGTTCGGTCTCTCGGTGATACTGTAAAGACATATATGGACAACATACTAATTTGAAGGAGTAATAAAATTTTTAAGAATGCCATGATCTATGTACCTCATTTTAGTTTAGACTAAATAAAAAATGTCATAGCAGGAAGCAGAATTGAGTGGGTATAATCAATACTCCCTCCGTCTCCAAATAAATCAATCTCTAGAATTCGTGCCAGACCAACTTTATAAAAAAGAGTAACGACATCTATAAGATAAAATGAGCACATTATGAAAATATATTCTATGATATATCGAGTGATACCAATTTGTTACCATAAATTGTGATGTTTTTTTCTAGAAATTCGATCAAAGTTTAAAAAGTTTGACTTAAAATAACTCTAGTAATATATTTATTCAGGGACAGAAGAGTGTCAAGTTAGAAGAGGCAGGAGCATACAGAGATTTTGAGTTTCATTAAAGCTGCAATTCACAAAATTATATGAGTACTACTCTGCAGCTGAGTAAAACATAACTTTACATGGAGAGAGTATAACCAATAGTTACAGTAGCCAGCAGTTCTTCAAGACAACAAGGGCAGAACTACGCGCTTTGTTTGGCTGAGCCCTATGCTGTTGTGCCATGTTCTCTCAGATCCTGGACGGGATCAAAGGTGTCGAATTCGACAGGTATGCTGCCGCACCGTGTCTGCCATGCCGCAGCCAAGCTTCACCGGGTAGCACACGTCCACCAACTCAACGCTGCTCAGGTATATCCCAGCAGTTCTAACTGCAAAACAAATTGGGGGTTTAATTACCAATGCAAATTAAAGTGCATCTAGGATCATCTGTATGTCTTTGGGGTTTCTGAAACACAAAAGCACTCCAGGCACATAAATGCCTATTCTTCGACAAGATGGGTATATATAAAAAGGCAACTGGTATCAGAGTCATGCAAGTTTGTCGTGAAGAATCAATAAAGCCAGCTACTCTATGCATCGATCAGATCATCGGAATGATGATGCATTGACATCATGCGGACATGTCCTATTTGCTCACCTGCACCAAGAGCTGCAGTTGCTCCAGACGCCCGATGCTCTTGTGATCTTGTCAAGCATGAATCCTTTGCATTCAGAAAAGACCACCACAATACAAACACACTAAGTTCACATCTAGCATAAACACAACTCAATAACCTTCAATTATGGCAACACATACACACACATACTAAAATTCATGCTATTTTTAATTGGTCTGCTATATTGGGCGATTAGAGTTTAGAGTTTCACTTACTCACAACCAGGCTTCTAATGGTTTAATTCACAAAAAGACAAAGATTCAACAATCAGATTGCACTAATTTAGCAAATGGCAAATAAGACTGAAAAACATTCAGAGAATCACTTCCACATTAGGGGATTAGAGAAAAAGCATTCACATAAGACCAACCACTCAACTAAGAAATTATATGATAAGATAAAGTTCGGGTGGATGCATACCTATTGAGATGGCTAAGACTGTTAGCACTCAGCAGGCCTTTGCCAACAAACTGAAAGAGAGGCAGCCTTTTTTAATAAGTTACTACACAATAAAATGCCACAGTAACAACAGGAACATGGAATATAATTATCTTATCAGGTGCATGACAAATAGGAAGCATGAAACTATGGTGCAAATTGTGATGGATATCGACCTATGTGCATATGCTATTCTACTCTTCTAAAGAAAAAATAACAGTTTGGCATAACTATATCAGAAGAGCTATTTGGATAAAAGGGCGTACCAAGTGCAGAGAGCTCCCGCTCTATGCGGGGTCTGGGGAAGGGTGTTAGTGGCAAGCCTTACTCTCGCCTTCCGATCACAGGCAGTAAGACTCTAACGCTTGCACCAGGCCCGCCCTTCAGAATATTTGGATCTTCAGAATATTCCAACAAACTCAGCTATTTACCTTTTGTCTAAGGCATTACCTAGAAAATGCAAAAATCTTAGCCGGATTGTAGAGCATTATTATGGGCTTGACATAAGAGTGTGTCGCCAAGAATCTCAAAAACCATCTTCTTGAGGTCTACCTGAAGACATCACTATTCTCATGGATGTGTGCAAGTTTCTGTGCACCTGCAACATAACAAAACCAAGAAATCTTTGTTCTTGAACTCAGATTATCAATAGATTGATAAGCAGAAAAAGATTATCTGTGCCGAATTTCAAATGGAAATTACAAGAAGAATCTCCAAAC